ATTGAGTAATTGATGGTTGATTGTGAAATACTCTTGGATGCAATGTGTTGATTGCATTACACCATGTGTAGGTGTATGTTTGTAAAAGTTGATTGCTGAAACTGTTGGTGAAGAACAAAGGTTGACTGAAGCATTGAGGTAAGCCTTCGGACCTTGGGTGTAATTCCCTTGACTGTTCTACCAAGCCCTGAAAGGGTAGAGGTTGTGATTGTGTATATAAATGCAATAAAATAGTGTAATGCTTTGTTATACGTATGTGTATGCATTTGGTGTGGCATAGGATGGTGTTTCCCTATGTTGGTATGTTGCATGACGATGCGTAAATCATACTTGGTAGTTAGCTGGCCAGTAGGACTAATTGCATCTGAGTTTCCTTAGGACAGCTTGAGAGCTCGAGGGATTTCTCCTGGAGATGTATTGCACTTTGCATAGATATGTATTTACTGCATTATTATTGTTATTGCTATTACACTGATATGGAACTGTGGGGTGGAGAGATGCTCCAAGGACCCCTGGTTTACTGGATATATTCGTATATCTCACCCCGTGTTGTGGGGACCCCCTTTCAGGTAAGGATGCTGCAGGAGCCTCTGGTGGCAAGTGGCCATATCTGGATTATGCATGAAATATGGCATTTCTTTGAGTTTATGCATACCTTTTGTAGTTGACATGTATAGGATTTCATTTTGAAAGCCCATGGTCATTTGTATATCTTGATTCATTGGATGAACTTAGCCTATGCTCATGCCTTTGGTTACACCTTTTGTTGATGGGAGCCAAGGGAATGATCATAGTGTTTTGTAAGCTAAGTTCTATGATTTGTAAAGGATATGTAATGTAAATGATGCCTACTTGAACTTCAATATATGCATGCTTGTTATGTATTGAGTTGTTGAATTGGTTGGGCTGAAAATCAATTAGGTACCCTTTTGTTTAAACTGGTAAACGATAAGAAAACAAAGGTCATGCTGCCCAAATTCTAGCTAAATCTCATGAGGAGAGGTTGGATGAGTGCTAGGATTTAGTTTTGGGGCATGGACAATTGGGGTTTGTAATGGGGATGCATTTTCCCCTAGGCTTGGACTTGAGAAATGTGGGAATTGGAATTCCCTGGCAGCGCGCTTAAGCGCCCAGGAGCGCGCCCAAGCGCCCTGCTGCCCCTGCGAGTGCCAATGCATTCTGCCTCCTTGCGCTGGAGCGCCCAAGTGGGGGCTTAAGCGCCCAGAATTGCGCGCTGGAGCGCCCTGGCGTGCGCTTAAGCGCCCTTTGCTGCAGAAAGTTGGGTGGCTTACTGCCCCCTCGTGTTTTAGCGCCCAGGGTGGGGCTTAAGCGCCCAGGGTTGCGCGCTTGAGCGCCCTGGTCCGCGCTTAAGCGCCCTTCGCCACTGAAGGAGGAGATGCTTCTGTCTCTGCGCGCTAAAACGTCCCCGTGGGAGCTTGAGCGCCCAGGATAGCGCGCCTGAGCGCCCTGTTGCGCGCTTAAGCGCCCATCCACACTGGAATGCCTGATGCTTACTGCCTCCGTGCGCTTAAGCGCCCAGATGGAGGCTTTAGCGCCCGATAGCGCGCGCTTGAGCGCCCGGTAGCGCGCTGAAGCGCGCGGGGCCTGTGACCAACACTCTCTTGTGTTGCTTCAAATTGTCCTAACTTGGACTACAGTGCTCCGATTTGAGCACGGTTTGAAGCCACGGGTAGCTAATGAAGAAACCTACAATATAGTAGAAGTATTGAACTAAACAAGAAGTAAATTAATGGTTTAAAAATGGGAAATGAACATGATGTTAAGCTTAATTTATCTGTTTCCGCAAGGTAATATGGTTATGATCACGAAATTGGGTATTATAAGTTCGGTACGTTTTAAAATGAAAAATTTATCCGGATTTTAATTGAACCCATGTGATTGTAACTGCGCTTAATATCATAATGCGATGTTAACAAACCGGTTCTAGAACGGGGTGTTACATCATACAAGAGAACATAGAAGCTGCCCAAGCCCAACATAATGCAACTAAAGTTCAAGATGCTGAAGCCCAAATTCAGAGAAGCAAATCATCGCGTGTATCACACATTCAAGCTATTAACCATGACAGAATATATTAGCCACATCAACTGCTTGACTTATTTTTAGTTTGAGAGTCTGTTATGAAATTCAGTTATGCAGTTAGTTAGTTTAGCTATTACGCGTGCATGTACTTCTCTTTCTTGATGTGTATAAATAGTCACTTTGTTCTGTAACTCTCAGATAATGAAATCAATAGAATTTTCCACATTCCTTCTTCCATTCTTTCTCTGCTCTTTGAGTTTCAAGAAGAAGAATTATGGAAACAGTTATTTTTTATTTTGTTTTGAAAGTTAAAAACAAAAATAAAAAACAAAAACAACCCAACCATGTACTCTAAAATTTGATTCTGAAAACAAAAAAATAGTTACAGTTTTTAATTATTATTTTTTTACAAAATAGACCTTACCAAACAAGTTTTTTTTGTTTTTTCTGAAAATCAAAAAACATTTTCGAAAACTGATTTCAAACAAGCCCATAGTTTTGGTGGTAATTGAGTTCAGTTAACTCTGTAAACAAAAGAAGAAAACTATGCTAATGGATAATCATGACTCTGATGCCGTGTTAAAATTATAGAAATTTAGTTAAGAAAGGAGAAAAAAATATAATAGAAAATCTGAATAATATTCTCTTTTGCATAATAATATAATATGATGTGATAAAATGTAATATTACGGACAAATTGTTAACTCTTAAAATACTTAAAGTGGCTGCTTCATATTAGTTTCAAAGCTCCAGCAGGCGGTTGCGAGCACCTAAATTAGGAGAGCACTGTGTTTTTGGCAAGCCAGTTTGCGACAATGCAAAGTACCTTTTTCTTTTAATTTTCCGAGACTGAGATTACCTTGGACCTAGGGTGGAAGGCATAAAGTGGTCCTTGCAATTAATCACTATTCAAACCATATGAGCCAGACCCATCATCAGCACTAGGCAAACACTACTACACTAGGAACATGGGTAGGTCTTCTCACTAGGTCAAGATTAAATGGTGAACCCCACCTCCTCATTATCATTGTTATCTGCCTGCATAAGGCCAATTCATTGCTGTGCAACGTCTCCACCATGCATGCTAGTGTCAGTGTTTTCCGTGGAATTTATTTTTTGAAGTCTTCCCTGGAATTTATTCTCCTGCTATGTTGTTTATTTCTTTTTCAATCATTGCACCCACTTTATCTCCAGACTCAGTATTCTGACTTACTACGAGTTTTTCTTTTTGTTTCGATCTTCACAAGCATGGCATGTTAAAGTTCTGATTCCTTCACAGTTTCCAATAACTAGAAACACACTGCAAAAGTTACCGCGAAAATCCCACGCCAAAATTCTTTTTGGCCACTGATTTCGCGCCATGTTTAGTTGGCTATGAAGAAGAGCTAAATGGTCACCATTCAGTAATCAAGCTCAAACAGACCTCTATCTATAGCTTATAAGCATTACTTGGACCAGGTAGCTGCATCCTAACATGGCTTCTGATTGGTGCCAAAGCTTTTAGTGTGCCAAAGAAAACAGTTCTTAGTGCTTTGTTTTCTTTTGTTGGTGTTTTGTGCATTTGAGGGAAACTTACGTTTTGATATTCACGATTCTCTTGATATTTGTGGTGATTGTTAAGCCAATGCTGAGTTGCTTAATTTTGGTTAACAAAGGTTAAGGCGATATTAATCATGAGGTTTTATTAGTCTTCTTTTACATAAGATAATTATCTTATGTTGTAGAGAGAAAATGGGTAGGTTCTATCATTACAAGAAAAAAAATGAAAAATGTAGAGTGCAAAAATCAAAATGAAAGAACACGAGAGAAGTTATCTTGTATGAAAGCAAAATAATATTTCCCTTAGTCATAATACATACGAGTACAAAACAAGAGTCAACTAGCGGTACGACTTGTTCCGGATTCGATGGAAATGCACCACACAAATCTAGATAACACGCATGACCCTGAGGTTGCCTTATTAAACCGCATAACTCTGCTAATGTGCATGACAAAAAAAGGTTGTCCGATGCCTAAACTAGGAATATGAAGGGCTTCGATTCCATTAATAATATACAATAATAGCTTCCTGAAAAAGGTTGCCACGTATATCGAGCTATTATAACTTTTTACGAAGCTGTTCCTGTTTCATAGAATTCAACTTCAAGGTAAAACGAGCATTCTGATGAAACAATAAGACAAAACAATAAGACAAAACAAAATGTGGTTTCGAAGAAGCGATTAGAGTAGAAGGTGCCCTTTGTCTTACGAAGATGGTAACTTAGCCATTGACCTCATTCATTGCTTTTTGCACTAATGGGGTTAAATTATAAAATGCTTTATACTTGCCAACATTTATGTAAAGTTGAAAAACAAAGTTAAAACATAAGGATAATTCAGGATTGTCTAAGTCTTTCTTCTTTCAGTATTTCAGATTGACAGTTTCTGCTCGTTGGAGAAATTTTCAAACCTTGAGGTTGTAGGAGATTCTTTACCTCCCTTCCATAAATCCCTTTATATTGTAATGAATTTTCTTAAAAATTTGCAAGAAAAAAAAATAGTGTCTCCTTGGGATATATTCCTAATTAAATTTCCCACTTGAATTTTTACAAAAATAAATAGTTTGGTAGAGTCAAAGCATTTAAGCTGATAAAATCCAAAGGTGAGCTTTACGTATTAAATGACCGATCATAAATGTATGATTAGTCATAATTAGTATAATTTGTAAAAAAAAATTATAAACTTGCTACATATATGTATGCTTAATATAAGGTAAATTAAATGCTGTAATATACAATCCTAGATTAAATCTGCCATCGATTGGGGAGGGAGTGAATGAGTGATACCCACCAACACATACAAAAATGAACTGAAACTGATCTATACTTAACTATATGATGCTAAAACTTAAAAGAGATAATAAAGCAAAGCAAAGCAAATGATATATCAGAAAGTTCACCCCAAATTAATCCAACAAAAACCAACACATATCAAAAGCCTCTATAGATTACAACAAAGCAAGGCAATATAGCTCGAGGATTGAACACATACAACTCATCCAAATTAGAATAAGCCCCAACAGGCCCTGCAACCGAATCATACTCCTCCACACCACCTTCCGTATTCTTCTTCACCTTGCCTGCTATCACCCGACAAACCAGCATTGCCCTCTTGTCGTTACTCTCTTCCACTGAAACAACCGCATTGTCGTGGGCCTTCCCACTTGTTGCCGTCGTCAATATACCATTTCCTCCGGTGACCTTAAACCCATGCTTGATTATGCTACATACATTACATTGTGGTATTGAGTTGCAAAGGTTGGAGGATCCGTTTAGGCCTAGTGAGCACACAAAGGTAGTGCAGTGAAACCTGAGTAGCTCGTTGCCATCTGCTATGCAACGTGGATGTTTCTTCGTGTGCTTTGTGGCTTTGGCTTTGATGGAATCTCTGTACTCTTCGAATTTGCTTATTGTCCTCTGCGTGTTGTGGACTTTAAGGATGCGTTCGATCTCGCACACTGGAGATTGCTTCTTTAGCCAGCTCGAGTGGAATATAATTTCAACTATGTTCTTGCTCGTATCTTCTGAACCCAGTTCAGAAACTGAAATTGATAACACGGCAAAAGATAATTAAAACATATATTCAGTTATGTTGCATTGGTAGTATAAAACCATATAACACCATCCAACAAATTAAACATTGAATTAGTTCTTTATACGGTATCATAAGAGTTTTATCACATGTTCAATCCTCACCACTCTCGTTTAATTAATAAATAATTAAATCTTTTGAAATTTCTTAACATAGATAGATGAGCTTGTGTATTATCCACCATCTTAGTCCAGTGAACTCTCGTATGAAGAGGAAACTGTGTCAGAGAACATAGAATAGAAATGTATAAAACCATTAATATAAACTGAACCATATATACATACCTGCATGTTTAACAGCTTGATGATGCTCCAAACTTTCAGCTTTCATGATCTCACCACAGTCAGGGCAAGAACAAATGCTGCTCCTTAGAGAAGGGTCTCTGGTGAGACCTAGAACAGGGTCTACCACCATTCGACACTCATAACAACCGGAGAGTCTCCTGAATGGCATTCCCCTAAAAGACCCACCAGCAGAAGAACTAGAAGATGCTGATAATGAAGAAGATGAAGCAGACACAACACCATTGAGTTCATTTAGAGGGGCTTTCATGGATCTGCTTGAACCATTATTGTTGTTGTTGTTGCATCCACCCAGTGACACCCTTTTCTTGTGAATATCGGGGGTTCCCGATTCAGGCCTTGCCATCACCTTGGTGTTGTAACAAAGCGAGCCTGAACATTTCATCTTCTTGCTGTTCTTGCTGTTTTCTTCTGGGACTCGTTCCTCTTGCAGCTTTCTCTGTTCCTGTTTTTTCCCTGGTTGTTTTGCTTCCGCTAACGGTTGCGTTTTTGCTTCCTTCTGGTGCTGTTGTTGGATTTGGACATTTCTACAAGGCAATAGGCCTCTTACCACTGCCCACGAAGGTTGTTTCTCTGTTTTCTGTGGCTGTTGGTTTTGGCTAACATGCTTGGTAATGGTTGGTTTTCTTTGGGTTTTGGGTCTGTTGCTCATTTTAGAAAGCATTGAAGTTTTCGTCAGCTTAACAAAATGATGGCTTTTGGATAACCAGAGATATCTATAGTAGAGCTAAAATATGATTCTGGATTTGGTTCTTTTGGGTGGAGCTCTCATAGTTTTCTTTGCTATTTGATGATATGAAACTTTCAGGAACCTATAGCTCTTCCTCTGGGGCAGATATATGACTTTATGATGAGAATCTCACCGTTGATTTCTATAGATTGAAGAGTCCTTTTTTTTAGTCAGTGAGAAAGTAAAGAGATAGGGTAACTCAGTTGACAGGTAACTGAACATGTGGAAACGAAAATATATGTTTGATTTTTTTCATTAATCTTTAGGAGAAATTTAAAGTCTTAATTTTAAGGCTATTAGAATTGAATTAATCATGAAACGATCATAGTAGTTAATTGCGCTGCAATAGCGTCACGAGCCGCGCCGTATGAGTATTGCGGTGCCTCGCCGCAAGACACCGCGCCGCGCCACACCGGAACGCAATAGCGGCCATTGCCATCACATTTGCGGTCATATTGCTATCATAAGACAAAATGTCAACTTTGTACTAAATTTAAATGTATAACAGAAAAAATTTAAGGGTTTTTTAGTCTATCTGCGTCTCTCTATGTCACTTCTATTATCTCTGTCTTTAAAAAATATTTCTTTTTATCATTATTTCTGTCATATATCTATTCCGCTATTTCCGCAACTGCAACCCACTATAACACTATAGCGTTTTTCTGAGTTGGCCGCCACATATCGCAATCGCATTTGATAACTATAGAAACGATGAACCGATTTTAATATTAAAAAGAGAGAGATATGGCCTACCTGTCCCCCTGCCTTTTTTTTGTAAATATCATACTGACCATCTTTATTGCCCTGTGGGTTCCCTAATTCCCACGATGAGTCAAGTACTTGAGTTTTATGGTTAATAATAGCTTCAGTGTTTAGTTCGGAAGAAATTTTTTTTTATTAGAGAAATGTAATTGATAGGAAAATGGTTGGAAAGTGAGTTTGATAGAAAAATGTAAAATAAGTTGTTTGGTTGACCCAAATATTATCAGATAAATTTATTTAAATATGCAAAATTTATGTTCGGGAGAAACTTTGCACCTATTTTTTCACTTCCCCAGTCATCTCACAATACCACATCTCAAGTGGTATTCTGTAACAGTGAATTTCATCCAAAAATCAACACAAAAGTCATTTTCCCATCTATCCTATTTGTCTGGTATTTCTTGAAAAAACCTGAACCAAACATGGTATTTTCCAATATTCACCTACATTTTCTCATCAATTCTAAAATAAACCTTCAACCAAACACTACCTTAATATTTGTTGGTAAAAAACATGTCACCTAATAGTTTCTCTAACATATCCATTGGAGCATGAGTTACATTTCCCCCCTACATTATGTTAATTTAATTAGAAAAAGGTTATATTTATTATCATTTTAATTTTATTATCTGATTGGTTATTGTTAAACTTTTAAAATCAATGGTTGAAAAATAAAAAAAATTAATTACCATCGATTTCAAATTAATTCAACGATAATCAATTACAAAGTAAGATTATAATTATAATAAATATAACCGCCCTCATTTAATTATTCCAAAAAATGAAAGTGGCGAAATGCGACCCCATAATAATCACGGGTACTCTGATATATGATGAGGAATCATTTTAACTCAACAACTTACACATACTGAAAGTTCATCAACCAAAAATGGAGTTTAACCGCCGATATTTCTTTCAATTTATTTTGAATGTGATCATGTTGAGCTAACAATGAAAACTAACCCAAAAAAGAACAATTGCTAACATAAAAAACTTCGGGAGAAAACTATTTGCGTTTCATTTTTTTAATCCAGCAGACAATCGCGTTACATTAAAAAGTGGATCATGTTGGTGCTCAAATTCCGATGAAATTAATGCAATGGAAGGAACCAATGCAAAATCCGTGGAATCGGTGAAAACCAGTACAGGATGGGTGATGTAGAACAGGTTTTAACTAGTTGTTTTTCTTTTTATTTTATTTTTTAACTGAACAAAAAATATTTGTTTAGCCAAATAAAAAACCAATTTACATAATAAATTATGAGTTTTATTACTCTTCCTTTACATATGATAAATAGAGAGAAAATGAATAGGTTCCACCATTACATAAAAAAAAAATGAAGTGCGAAAATAGAAGTGAGATAATATGAGAGAAGTTATCTTGTATGAAAGCAGAGTAATATTTCTCATAAATTATTATTTAGTCTCATATTATAAATTCTTTATCTCACAAGACACGTAATATAGTCATTTCATGTTAATTTAAACTTTTATTTAAATTGATTTATTATGATTTTACATTAATTTATTACTTAATATAATATATAATATTTAAAATACATACATTTAATTATCACCAATGAAACTATAGTTTAACTATGATCAAATTAATGAGCCATAACACCTTGATCGATTCATTCAATGACTTAATATGTTTTTAGAACATTCTCAATCTTTAATGTGGCCAGTACACAATTTTTGAACATATCGTTTTCCTGGAACTGCCTTGGTTACCATCATTGTAAGCTTTCTAAAACAATTTCTAAACATTATTTTACAGGTGAATTGAACGAACCTTGGAAAATGTTAGTTTAGGCTTTAAGACAAAGACCATGGCTAAATCAATATGCCATAATCGGTGACAGGGACCATATCTCAACAGATCTTATAGATAACTAATTAATATTGCTGGATAGGACAAAAGCATTTATATATCACAGCTAGAAAATGCATCCAAGGGTAATAAATGGTTCATTTTGTACCTGCAACCCAACCCAGCACAAATTTATGGGGGGAGAGTTGAATAATTAATTAGGCTTGTCGTTATTCTAAGCCCAAGGTGGACTTTTTGAGGCTAAACACATTGCACCATTTGCAAGGTACTCCACTAATTACCCCATAATGGTGAAAAGCTGCTTACTTGATTCCTTTTGCCTCAAAATCATGCCACCCCATATGCAATGGAATAAAGCCCTCTACTTTAATTAACATAAAAATCAGCAATTTCCCCCTAAAGTTTTGAAAATTTTGTTTTAACCGCTAACTTTTACTATTCTAAGTTTCTAACTCCGGCTTGAATTTGTGTATGCATAATGCATTATGCATTGTATCTTTGTGTTGCAAAAGCATAAAAGCACACAGAACAGAACATAGCCGTTGCCGTTAGAAAAGGTGTGAACTGTGACGATTACTCTAATATTGAACCCGTAATATTTCTTAGAAACCAAATGGTAACGGAAGTAAGAAGATTCTTAATACAAGTGCATGTCATATTTTTTCCAAGGTAACGGACAATCAAAGAAACCTTGAACGACAAAAAGATCACAGATCTGTGAGAAGCAGCAATTTGATTGTAATTGTCCTCTCTACGGACAATTTAACAACTAAACATAGCAAAACTATATTACGATATTTGGTAGTCACTAGCGTATAATCAGTGGCGGACTCAGGAATTTTAATGACAGGGAGCGAAAATAAAAAATATTATATTATAAACAAAAATATTTGAAATATAATACAGACTCAATATAAAAAAAAAATTAAAAGAAATCTATTACAAAGATTAAGATCACTTCATTTCATTTGACTCTTATTTTACGTATTTTTTTTATTGTTAAACTCATATATAATTGAATCCGTGTTATAACTCAAAATAATTTCTTTTTTAATGTATGTAATCAAAGAATCATCAAGAAATTGGTCTTCTATTTTATTTTGAAGCTTGTTCTTGATTTTATTTTAAGCATGCAGATCCTCACTTTTTTCTTTCTTTTTAAATGTCAGAATCCGCATGTGTAAATATGTTTGCTATAAAAAAATTTATATGCTATTGCTGCAGAAGAGACAAACTCATAAATAAATCATGTTATCGATCAATAAATTAGATACCCACAATGTTATATGTGTGTTTTCATTCTTTTTATAGTTAGAATTGTTGGAAATTTAAAGAGATTAAGAATAATTTTGAAGAACACACTACAATTTTTTAATCTAATCACGTGTTTGGAAGGAGGTGAAAAAAAAATTCCTAAGAAATTGGGGTTGGGAAATTATTTGCCTATGTCTGATAGGAGATGAAGTAAAAATATGGCTAATTTTTTTTTTCCATCATTTGCTTTTCTATGTAAAATAGTTGGAGAACATTACTATTGAAGAGTGAACAGGTACTTGAAGAGTGTTTCAAGATTGAGTCTCACGCCCCCATCAATGAAAATGCTTGTGTTTCCTTTGCAGTTGTCTTCTATTGCAATTACAAGCTGAACAATTTTCAGAAGTTTGATTTGAGCTGTTGAAATTTTGTGCTTCCTCTTCACGCTCACTCATGTCAGTAATTTACCCACTCACACACATTTTGTAATATTATTAAAATACCTATATATATATATTTTTTCTATCAAATTTTAAGGGGAGCGGGGGCCCACCCTAGCCCCCTTCTAGGTCCGCCCCTGCGTATAATGTATCAAATACGGAATTTACAAAAAAAAAAAATGTATCAACTACGGAAGTGGTCAGGCCATTGTTATTTGATTATTCGCTCCAAATTAGCGGACAATAAAAAGTAACACGTACTAGCTTTTCAACCCAAAACATAAGTAGGCTATATTAATGGTTTAAAAAAAATTCACAAAAAATAATCATCTCATCTAAGAGCTTAAGTTATTAAGTGAGATTATATTAATAATTTTTTAGCCTCCAAACTAATCATCTCACCTAGTAAGTACAATTTTTCTTTCCGATACAAGATATTGACACAGCTGTTTTGTCTTGATTCTTGTTAATATCGTTCCAGGCAATTTTAGCGCAATCAATTTACGATTTATTTTGTCATAACAATGGCAGGAAATATTTAGAATTTACATAAATTATTGTACTCCAATCTAAGCAGTAATCTACTAGCTTACCATCTTTTATTTTATTTTATTCTTTTGAAATTTGATCCCTTGCACTTCAAGTTGCCCTAAAAAGTTGTCAGAACATGTAAGTTATGATTCCAATATGTGAGTTGTGTTTAAATTTTAAAAGACTATAGGAAGCAAATATTGCAAAGGCCGAAAAGACTCTCTTTGGGTTCTCGGAGCCCAAATTGCAACTTGCCAGGCCAGGCCGCGAAGGGGTCAACTTAAAAGAGTTTTTATAAATGATAATTATTAATTGACGAAAATTAATTGTCAGTATTTGATGTCAAATATTAAAATTTGACATCGATATTAAAGGATCTTTTATATATATATATATGGAAATAAAAATAAATATAAGTCTCATGTCATCGGAGAAAGCTATCTTTGTTCACCCATTGAATCTGTGCCAGTTTTTGTCTTCTTTTTTTTTTTTTTTTAATTATGGATCCTACATATTTGTCTCAACCGCATAAGAATACTATCTCTAGTTACATAAAATTAATAACTCACATATATGTATGTATATTGAGAATATAGTGTTTATATTATGAGTTTTAATTTTCTCATACAGCACAAGAAAAAAATTTATGCTAAGAACACATCTTTTGTGGGGCTTATATCTATTAAAAAAAATTAAAAAACAGCAAAAAATACGATATAAAAATCAAAGGGCTATTAATAGGAGAAAATAATTTTTCTACAACGTAAGAAAATATTTTCCCTTGTATTATTGACAAATTTACAGTGAAATTTTACAAATATAGATATTTAGGGGAGGGAAAGAGAGTGCATGAACGGTAGTCGGTAGCCAAATAGCTATATTATTTAAGTTATTATGTGTTGACGGTTGAATGATTAACTGCATATTTAGATTTCAGTTGAGTTGTCTCAAACGCATGTTTTTATCAACCAGATAGACAAGTAGCCAGCCACTGGATCAGCCCATGATTACGGTGAGAGAGGCCCAAAAGAAGCCCATGACTGATGAGAAAGGGGGAGCGCGAAAGGCACATTTCAATTTCAATTTCAATTTGATGTTTGGTGGCAAGGAATTTGGGAATGTGATGTAATAGAAATGCGGTGGAGATTGCTTCATGGATGGGAAGGCTAACCTTCCGATCAACCCGCCGGATTCTTCCCCGCCGGACTTCCTCCGCCACGTCCAAGCCGCCTTGAAGCGCCACCGTCCTCTCGGTAATTCCAATTCACTCTCACTCTCTTTCTTTGCCCTGCTCTTCATTTATTTATTTATCTTAAATTGTTTTTAATACTTCAAGCTAGCTAGGGTTTTCGTATCTAGTGGATAGGTGTTGTAGTAGGGTTTCTATCAATTTCTTTTGTTTTTGAGAAAATTTTCAGGCACAATGCAGTCCAATTGTATAAGGCCAAGGCGCACGCTGCTTCCTCAACGAAATGTGTCAAATAAGTCTCAGGGGGACACGTCGTTGAAGGAATCACTCGCACTCAGAAACAACACTGACTCTGCTGATTCGTCAATTTCAAGTGAAAGCAACATTGTCATGCCTTCTCAAAATGTAGATACTCAGAAGAAAGTTCACTTTAGCAACATTGCTCCACAGGGTAATTCTCTTTATATCTTTCCCCTTTTTAATTTCTTATGTTTTGTTTATGCATATTCCAAACTTGTCACTGTTCCCCATGCAGAGGCACATGATGTAAAGGCCACTGAGTTGGATAACTTAACATCTTATATGAGTTCACTTGGATTCGCAGAAATGGAGTGGGTTGAAAGCAGCCAACTTGAAGGATCAATTGGATTCAATCAAGATTCAAAGCACCAAAAAATTCAGGATGGAGGAATAAGCTCTATGCTGCCAAAGAGAACGACGGTTACTCAGGATCATATGCAGCAATTCGGAAACTTTTTAAGTCAGCCAGCGACACAATCTTCAGTTGCTGGACCTTCGTGTGCTACAACTACCTCGGTCCATTCAACTTCAGCTCCCATGCTGAATTCAACAACCTGTTATTCTCATTCACATCCAGACAGTGGCTCACGTGTGGCTGCTGAACCTTTGGGGGAGCTTAATGTTAATCCCCATCCTATAACTGAAAGGGTTAGGAAATCACCAAATACTTCCCTGAAAAACCCTGATAGAATGTCAGTTGATCAGGCAACGATTGCAGCCCAAGCTTCGGATTCTTCTATTGATGCAGAGCTGGCATTTAAGGAAAGCGACCAATCTAAGGAGCAACAAGGATGCATTTTAAAAGAAACCAGCAATTCTTGTCATGAAGACAAGTCAAATAAAGGGAAAGAGCCTGCAGATGTTGCCAACGCTCAACCTCAGGTTCCAATGCCCAAAACCTCATCTTCAGATGTGAAGTTGGAGTCTTCCAACTTAGAAAAAAGAGAGAAGGCTACAAGTAGTAAAGGTTCATCAGCAGCTGCTCGGAAAAGGTCCTATGACCCTGATATGTTTTTTAAAGTCAATGGCAAGCTTTACCAACGGCTTGGCAAGATAGGTAGTGGTGGAAGCAGTGAAGTGCACAAAGTGATTTCATCAGACTGTAGGATCTATGCACTTAAAAAGATCAAGCTCAAGGGTCGTGATTACACTACTGCATATGGGTTTTGTCAAGAGATTGAGTATCTAAATAGGCTGAAAGGAAAGGATAATATTATACAGCTTATAGATTATGAGGTACTCTGCTCAATTTCTGTTTTCTGTTATGATACTTAGCAGTTCTTGCTTAAACTATTTCTGCTTCATATCTCTCCAGACGTATTAGGATACACAAATATACGATCACTTAAGTTTTGTTTACACGCTCTTCATTTTTTGGGGGCTAGGGTTATTTGCATTTTTAGAAACAGGATCTTTTATTTTATTTATTTATTTATTTATTTTCATGTGTGCGTGTGTCTGTCTGTGTGTATGAAAGTTTTCATGTTTTTGCAATTTTTGTGGACTTAATTTTAGAATGTTACTTGATTTATGTTTAGTGTATGTTATTTTTACTTAATCTTATAATTAGGTGACTGACAAGGCTTTGCTTGAGGAAGTCATGAAGGGCTCCTTCAGTAATAAAGATGGCCGATTCAAGGATGATGGATATATATACATGGTACTTGAATATGGGGAAATCGATTTGGCTCACATGTTGTCCCAGAAGTGGAAGGAACTTGATGGATACAACCAGACCATAGATGAGAACTGGCTTCGATTTTATTGGCAGGTTTCAAAATCTACGATGTAACCTTGTATATATTTTATCATTTCTGTGAACCTGCATGTTGTATGATTAGTTTTTCCTTCTTTGTTCAATCATTGAAAGTTCTAGTGTTTTAATTATCCAAAAAGAATGTAAATAGCACCTCCATGTCTAGTTTCGTGTGTTCTGGAAGTTATATTAATTCTTCATATTTCATATAGCATCCAAAAAGTATTCTTTTTGTTGTTGGGGGGGGGGGGGGGGGATCGAACGAAAGGCTCATTCACCTATTATTATATTCATAATCAGATTTGAAATGATGTTCCCTCACACTTGTTGCCAGTTTTCTCCATTATATGATTAGAATGGCTGTTAATTTTCCTCTTCCGTTTTCTTTCTTTATTGGATGGAGTAGAATAGTATTTCTTTTTTCTTTTTAAGTTTTTTGAGTTCTGCTAATGTAAATTAGCTGAGATTGTTTTGTTGACACCTTTTGCAGCAAATTCTTCAAGCTGTCAACACTATTCACGAGGAACGTATTGTGCACTCTGACTTGAAGCCAGCTAACTTCCTCCTTGTCAAAGGTTCCCTAAAACTGATTGATTTTGGCATAGCCAAAGCAATAATGAGTGATACAACTAACATCCAACGGGATTCACAGGTGATGCTTATTTTCTCCTTTTGGACTCACTTGTACATATTGTTGGGTTAAATTTTAATGAGATAAAAATAGAAAATAGAAAATAGAAATGTGAAGAGTTTTCTGGTGAAGAGTCATGTCCTTAGGTTTGTGTTAGTGGATATTAATGAGTCAGTTATATCAGTTAGAATATTAATGAGTCAGTTATGTCAGTTATAAAGTAATGAGGGTGTTATGTGTGGAGTTATGTTTGTCAGTTTTATAGCTTATAAATAGCCTTTGATAGTTTGTATGAAATGTAGATCAAGAGAAAAAGAGAGTGTGCAAGTAAGCAAGTTTTTATAGAAAAAGCTTTCATAGATACTTCTGTGTGGTTGTCTCTTGCATCTGTGAAGATTCCAATTCTAACAAACTGGTATCAGAGCTATGGAGAAAAAGAGCGAGTTGGAGGTGCCACTCTTTCATGGAGATAAGGATGAAGCATTAGATTGGCTTCTTTGTTTGAAGGAACATTTTCGGAAAGAAAAAACCTGGACGGAGAACAAATGGCAGGTAGCCATGAGAAGACTCAGAGGAAGCGCAATCAAATGGTTCCGTACATGGAACTGCCGCGACTTTAATAATATGTGGAAGGATTTTCTAATGGCCTTCATAACAAAATACTTGCCTCGACGTTTTGATCTGATTAATGAAGAAGATGAAATCTTCAATGATGATGATGAAGATGATGAGAATGATGCATATGAAGAAGAGACCGAGATGGCGGAATCCAAGGTTGCCAACGGCAACGCATTCGCGGAGGAGATTGACGTGTCAGAACGCGTAAGAGACAACTCGGAGAAGAAGACGATGGAGATGACTGCGGTCGAAGGAGCCGAGATAGAAGAGGAGGAGAACAAGGGAGCCGAGATAGAAGAGGAGGAGAACGAGGGAGCCGAGATAGAAGAGGAGGAGAACGAAGGAGCCGAGATCGAAGATGAGGAGAACGAAGGAGCCGAGATCGAAGCAGAGAAGGACGGGAATAAGGACGGGAATGACGAGTCCATTGTCGAGGTAGAAGACTTCGTGGGACCTGAGTGTCTGGAGACAGAGTCGAAAATCGGAAAGGAGATTGAGAAGCCTAGGTGCTTGATGGAGACCGGCATGGAGGAGACCGCGAATCCGAGTTCTGTGTTGATAACCGGGATGGGGGAGATCCTGGCTAAATCACTGAGTTCATGTTTTGGAGAAGAGCTCGACCTCGGCGTGATGAGGTTGATGTCAGAGACCGACATAGGCGTGGTTCGGGTTGGAAGTCAGAAGTCGGAGACTGCATTGAATTCATGGTGGAAGTGGAAGATGTCGACTCCACCGAAAAGAAACCATTTCCCTGGAGGACGGTTGTCTGAGATTCCATTGATGAGGCGCGTGGAAGCTGGACTCGATGAAGAAGAACCCGACGATGAAGAAACTGAGAGCGGAAAAATGGAAGGTGCATTTGAAGAAAAGGATGTGGTCTTGAAGAGAAAAAGAGAAAAATTCAAGACTGTCTATCTTCCACCAATGAAGGAACCGCCGGACAAAAAAAAAAAATTGAAGAAAGGGGTGCAACATGGAAGCAGCGCGAAAAAAATCAACCGGTGGAAAATTCAAAAAAGAAGAATTAAAATTTAAGGGGGAGTTTTGTTGGGTTAAATTTTAATGAGATAAAAATAGAAAATAGAAAATAGAAATGTGAAGAGTTTTCTGGTGAAGAGTCATGTCCTTAGGTTTGTGTTAGTGGATATTAATGAGTCAGTTATATCAGTTAGAATATTAATGAGTCAGTTATAAAGTAATGAGGGTGTTATGTGTGGAGTTATGTTTGTCAGTTTTATAGCTTATAAATAACCTTTGATAGTTTGTATGAAATGTAGATCAAGAGAAAAATAGAGTGTGCAAGTAAGCAAGTTTTTATAGAAAAAGCTTTCATAGATACTTCTGTGTGGTTGTCTCTTGCATCTGTGAAGATTCCAATTCTAACACATATGCTACAATTGAGATGCATGCCTCTCTTACCTTGTGGCTTTATGCTGCCTTTTACCCCCCAGTCAGTTACTGTTTTTCATTATTCATAACTGAGGTGTGCATTCCCTAACCAAATTTTTTTATGCATTGTTAAATGCGGTGCATAACTGCTATTAGTGATGTACCAACTGTATCAAGTGGTTTTGGTGAGGGTGATTAAGTTATATTTTAGTAGGCCTACCATTGCATATATGGTTTGTTCAGCTTTGCAAAAATTTGCAATTTCAGATAATTTTTGGTGACTTAAGTCCAAAGAACATAATTTTTTTGGTAATGTTTTGGTGAAATTGACCCCTCATTTCCTATCAATTGTTACGATTGCAATTGTGAAATAATTTTGTAGATTAGATTGTTCGGAGGCACTCTTCCCCTCTTAGTTAATACATAAAGGCAACTTTGGTTTCAAGAATTATTTGATCACACTTTTGTGTTGGATAGGACTTAGTAGAATATATATGGTTTTTGTTTAGCTATTCGAGTGTTTTACTGCAAGAACTTAAGTAGCTCTTTTTCTACACGTGGATGAATACTGGCACCAGTTCAATCTCTAATGAACTGATTATGTTTACCGACTGAACCTCAACAATAAGCTAAGTCCACGGATGCCTTAAGTTCATCTGGATAATCATTCATTGGTGTTCTTACAGGCTTATTTTAAATAGTCAAAGCGTCATAAAATAACAATAGAAAGAGGAGAATGAGACAAATAATATGACTAAATCTTCAAAACATGCATTGTACCAAAAAGCATCTTAAAATAATCGGAAAAACTAAAGTGACGTTTATTTTCCCAGGCATAAACCGAACGATTGCATCCTAAAGATCAGTTTGGAATTTCCTTAAGGTGAAAGTTTTAAAAATAATATTTATTTGAAAAATTATATGAAGAACTCATCTTTGAACTTCTCATTCCAATTTTAAGGGAATATCAAACTGACTGTAAATAGTAAATGTTTAATTTTCTCTTAAAATTGTTTTCAACCCTTGTAGGTAGGTACTCTGAGTTACATGTCTCCAGAGGCGTTCATGTGTAATGAGTCTGATGCGAACGGAAACATCATAAAGTGCGGTCGGCCATCAGATATATGGTCCCTGGGCTGCATCCTTTATCAGATGGTATATGGGAGAACACCTTTTTCTGAGTATAAGACGTTTTGGTCCAAATTTAAAGTTATAACAGATCCAAATCATGAAATTATGTATGAACCAGTTTCAAATCCATGGCTTATGGATCTTATGAAGAGGTGTCTAGCATGGGATCGCAATCAAAGGTGGAGAATTCCTCAGCTACTCCAACATCCTTTTCTTGTTCCTCCTGTACCATGTCATCCATCTTTGTCCCAAGACCATAGCTGTAAATTGTTACAACTTATTGCTGAAACTTGTACAGATGACCCAGAAGCATCCCAGTTGTGTTTTCAGCTCCAACGGCTTCTTGGTGATCCACTCAAGTTAATAACTCCTCACTCACTAAATTCACGAGATCAACAGCGAAAACTGTTGTCCCGAATATCAGAACTCTCTACACAGCTGCAGGAACGTTTGACGAATACTGGTAACAAGTAGATGATGAAGGAACCTAGTGATTTTTGTCGTACGATATATTTTCTTAATCTACTTGTAATAACCTATTTTTCTTGTCATACCATATTTTCCAGAGGTCAGCAGTTTACCGGGTGGCATTGTGTGTATTTCCCGTCAATGAGAGTAGGTTAAAATGGGTATAGCAAGTGTATCAATCTAGGGCAGGTTTTGTATAAATTTTGTGAAGTGAGGCAGCAGCCCCAGGTTCAATCATTGTGTTTAAAAATGCAAATTACACTTACTTGAATTTTTCTTAATATTATGTATATATCTGCTTTAGTTTTAAAATGTATTTTAGAAGAAGCTACTGGCGAGTAGTTCGGGGGAAAAAAAAATTAAACAGGACTGTACTTACCAAATTCAAAGTCTAGTACATGGAAACGATAAAAGAAATAATTGTAAAAGATTTTAAGAAAAAATAGGTTATAAGTGTAATTTGCTTTTATTTTCAATATAAAAAAAATATACCTTAGTTGAATTTCATTTATTTTTATTTGTGAAATCGAAGTTGTGGTTAATTAAGGACTTGTGGCTTTTATAATACATATACCCAAAAATTTGTTTATTATACTGAACCTTTTTCACGTCCGCTTTCCACGTGATTCATTTCAGGCCATCATGATCAAACATTTGCTTTCCTATCTTCGTTGAGGGAACCTAATTCAAGTCATTGATTCGTCATAAACTTCAAATATCTATAGGACAAGAAAAACCTTGTCTTCTCAAAACCAAAGAAAGAAGGAAAGGAAAAACTTCAACGAAACATAGGGCCGAAAATACCAACTTTCTAATTTTGGAAATTGTAATAATTTCCTATATTATAATTTTTCAAAGAAAGGTTTATTGTATTTGTATTCTTTTAGACGTATATACCCCTCTGAACAATTTTCCCCATTCCTATAGTTCCTTACAGAAAACAGGCATTTTTCTTTTTTTCTGCTAAAGGAAAATAAAAAATGCTAAAAAAAAAAAATCAGTATCAAATGATTATATAACCTTCGGACTGACTGACAAAGGATAATTTGGGATACAAACGATCCCAATTCCCAACTTAATTAGGAATAGAGATGATGCTGATACTGAGTGAACAAGTGCAAACATTAAAATAACACCTGATAATCCTTTGTGTGATGTGACCCAACTCTAATGACTTGTTTGTACCAGCAGCAATAATAGTAATCAATTTGTCATTTTACTAACTACTCTTTTGAGGATAATTTGTAAGATGATGCTTCAGCACGTGCTTCTTCCAACTTCATCAAGAGTTCCTTCATGAATGGTGTATTTGTGCCATGAGTAATCCGTAGTATATCCACCGCCTTAGTTAGTGATTTAACAGCTTCCTCTGTCTCTCTCAGATACCTATATCAACAACATTAAACTCAACAACAAAAATAAAGAGTCTTCTTCCACTAGGTGGATCGGCTACATGGATCAAAAGACTATTAAATTCAAGTTACAAATTAATTCTTCTTAATTTATTTTAAAGATGGATTTAATTTTAATACACTTTCATTATGAAAAATTTTACATTATCACCCAATCATACATTTCCCGATTCACTTTGATTACCAACTTTACTAGTATTAGTGCTCTAATTTATTAGAATAAATTGTTTCTCACTAAGATGGATCTTTACAAATATGCGAAGGTAAGACTGTATATAAGGATTGCCTTCACTCCTACTCTAGCTAGTTGAGATTTAATGGGGAACTCTTTTTTTTTTTTTTTAAAGATGGATCTTTCACTACATTGCACCTACAGTAAAAGTACTGCGTCTTGGTGTACAATTACTATTTATGCATATAAACAGACAAACACTTGTGTGCTATTTAAGAGAGAAAAGCATGATATTTTATGTCCCCACGAAGGCACAAACGTTTCACTAAGTAAAAGAATTTAACAAAAACCTTTGTCCATTTCAAGATTATATAGATAAAAGCTTCAGTTGAGAGATGCTAACCATCCGAGTTTTCCACAAGTATAATATTGTAAACCAAGCAGAGGGTGAACAGTTGGATACACTCCTGCAATGAAGTAAAACGTCCAGCACTGGTTATCAGCAACATATGTGAGTTTTTTCTCAAACAGAACATGAACAGCCAAGCTTTAGCAAGTAAAGCACAGTGAATCGCGATTTAGGCAGCAGATGATTAATAGACCACATGAAGATGATTTAGATGGGTTTAGCTTATGCACCATTCCATTTGACAACAGTGCTTTTTGGTCCATGCATTAAACTGATGTAGAATACTATAAGCATAAATTTTTGTCACATTATGTCTGGCATAACTTTCCATTTTTTTCTCTTAAAACATTCTTTTCCGTGACAAATTTCATCAAAATATTATGTGTACAGCCTTGATTTGAAATGTGCTGGGATGTTCAGTTAACACCTAAGTCGCAACCTTCACCTATTTCCTTGTAGATTTAATCCGCTTTACCTCCAGAATACCTCACACCACTAAGGTTAAAAATAGCAATATTAATTTTCTCATTCAACCAGGAAGGAACAAATGAAAATAGCAAATATTTCAAGATTTGAAATGCAAGCAACATCTGAGGATCCAAGTTCAGTATGACATACTTTGATAGATTGGTATGGTCAATTTGCAGTATGCTAAAGCATCACTCCAATGTTCCAGCTCCATTAATGACTGCAGAGGACAAAATGTCATAACTATGATCCATTATTTCAGAGTTGAAACATTAATTATTGCATAAATGGACAGTGGTCTTTATTGTTTCACGCGGAAAAGGACCAGGCTCTTTGATGCAAAGATAGGAGACATCAGAAGATGTTTTTAATTGATAAATGACTAAATGAGTCTTCTAATAACAAGAAAAATAAATAAGATTAATTATGCAAACTTTGGATACATATGAAGGAGACAAACTCCTATTGCCAGTAAGACCTGTGGTGTACCAATTGCGGAGTCATCCAAAACAGTATGCAAACTAGTCCATATTAATTAAACAGTATTTAATAAATTAAACTGACAACACTCAACAGAAAAAGAATTTGTTTGTACCTTAAAGGCACAAATAAGATCTACAATACACAGAAAATCTCCATAGGAGTTGTATGGTAAGGTTGAGCGTGATATCAAGCCAGATATAATAATAAGGGGAAATTAGCAGAATAAGACAGAGAACTACAAGGAGAGGCTTACCTTCAAAATCTTCTCTCGAGTTTGCATCAAGTTGATTGAGAAAGGATGATAGAGTTTTGTTTGCAGTTTCTCAATCATTTTATATATGGAAATAGCTTCTTGATAATCTACAAATAGTCAAGGATTTGACTTTATGGACATAAATTGCAAATAAATTTCATTTGCACATGGATCAAGGCTATCATGGGAAAGAGAGAGAAGTGGAATGCAAAAGGAAAACTGTTCAGGTGATAGCTATTGCAGCAGTTACAAGTTCTTGCAGAAACATTAAAAGGATACTTCCAGTGGAAGAAGGCCTAGAAACTTCTTCTGATAGCGATTTTATTTCAGTTGCAATTTTCTTTATCTCTTCCTTGTCCCTAACTAGTCCACATTCTTGGCATTGGAATCCTTCTCCATCTTCAATTTTAGCAGATTAAAAAAAAGAAAAGAAAAAAAGATCATTGATAAGAAAGACATAAAAGCACCTGTCAGGTTGTCTATCTTTTATCTCACTCTTGTTCATAAAGGGGAGGATGTACCATCAGACTACAAAAATCAATAGCCAGAAAAGATTATAATGTTCCTCTTCCAGCTACTTGACATTTATTACACCGACAGGCAGTCACATACCAGTTGTCCGAAGCAAGAAACCATCACATTTTTCATTTTTGCATCTGTATCCTTCTAGGATTGCATTTTCTCGGATATCATCATACTGACCCTTCAAAATTAACTCATCTGAATTAGACAATTACAACATGCCAATTTTATTGAAATATACCAATACTATGAAGCCAACAAGAAATCATCCCAGATTAAGTAATATAGCAAGTACCACTTTAGAACATCGGAGACATGTACAAGTGAATAGGTACTGCTCTTTGAGAGCCTTCTGTCGAGCTATAGTGCTTCCAGCGGTCTCAATGTAACTTATCAGTACCTTAAAATTTACAGAAAATTGTAAGTATCGAACTTGAAGTGGACAAGAATCATTGTCCTACAAATAATTTTAAATTGACAACAATCATGACATATTGGATATTGGATGTGACCCAACCTAAAACTTTCTAAAGTAAAAAAGAAAAAGTTGCAACTGCCAATCAAGTCAACTAGAAAAATGTATGTTGTGCCATTAGAGGTTTCTTTCTAGCCCCAAAACTCTCTCATCATTGGCCTCATTATGGATTCTCCACCAGCTTTCCTTAGAACAGTTGAGATTAAAAAATAAAAGAAGCAAAGTATGGCATTTACAAATAATGTTGTAGCATGACTGCATGAGCAAAGCAGTTCAAGAGGAAGATGAGCATAGTTAGGTTCTGATAATCTGAAAGGTTGGAATGACAGTGGAGGAGAAAAGTTTTAAGAAATCATGTTTCAGATGTAACAGTGATGTGAAAATAAAAACAAACATCGGTTGAAACACGAGGCAGATGAAACTCAAAACATATATTGCGGTCAACTTGCTGGCTGTGATAAGGGTCAGAAAATTAGCAGAGTTAGAGAGAAATAGTAAGCATAGAACTGCTCTTTCACTGTGGAAACAATTAAGAGCTACAAGTTTAAGATGGCACAGGCTCTGTACAGGACAAAACAGTGGTAGATGTTGATAATTAAAACAAGGCAGCAGTGTCAAGGCAAAGTTGTCTAGCGCCCAAGCAAGCCAAAGAATGAAGTTTGCTCATAAATCGTAATGCATATATCATATTAAGGGTGATTCAACAATAGAATTGGGATTTGGGATCAAACGTGGTATTGACATTGACACCAGTTTTGACTTTACCCATATTTGCACTGAATTAACCAAATTTGGTTTTACATCCACCAAATCATAATTAACCACTTATCATTTGAATTAGCCATTAATCATTTATTATAAAAGCAACCACTAGTTATTTAAATGTACGTATTTAGTTGTATCTTAGAACTGGCCATTATACTGATACATGTTCTATCTGAAAATTCACTAGGCAGTCACATTGATACCATACTTACAAGGAAAGCTTGAAATGTTAAATTCCTTTAAGAAGGAGCCTACTTTTCCTCATAAAAATGCTGCTCTGACTTTTAATTTTTGGCATAAATTGGCATAGAAAAGCCATATATCCTAAATTTTCTACAGATTTGTAGAAGCACCTATTGCGCCTTTGGTAGTTGGACTTCCATTTATATCCTCTTAAGGTCAAAATGGCAGTTTCTCCAAAAAAGATTCCAGTTAAAATTGGAGATGGCTTAGAGTACAATAAGTAGGGTCTATACAAAATATATGACGCTAATCACGAGAATTTATGTTTACAGAGATACAGAACAAGCTACAACACAAGACAAGGCTATATTGTGGAACAAAATGGTTAAACCCTAACTTTCTGCCTATGTTGTTACGGAGCTTGCGTAAATAATCTTTGAATGACATTTCTTGCTCTACAAACCAGTGAACTAAATATTGCAAACTCTAATTTCTACTTAGGCAAGAAAAAAAAGAAATGCATACCTCAGTACCTTTGGGTACATGCTGCACGGCACGTACCGATGCTGACCTTCCCTCAAAAACCAACACGGAATTGGGCAAGCAGCTATATGTTACAACCAAGATTAGAAGATTAACAAGAAATAGAATAATAATACATATTGTTTTAAGGACAAAAAAAAGAAGTTAAATGATTACCTGTGATTGATAATGGAAATAACAGGATACAATCCAGTTCCCAAAGGTCTCAACTCACTGTCACAAATGGTATGTGCATTACATGCAAACTGCATTATTAGAAGGATCTGACATTAAAATGGCTTCCTCAGAATGTCAAATCTACATAAAAAATGATCTTATCTAAAACAAATATGCGTAAATCCATATGAACATAACCATTTTGTCAATGGAGAGTGCTTGTGTGATTTCTTAAGAGAACAATTTATAACAATCATATCAACTAATTTAGGTTTTGAAGCATAAGACCTTGGAAAAAATTTCTGCAATCTCTTTTATATTGATTTCAGGCCACTGTAGTATGAAGTTTACAAGATTAGCCATCTGTGCGTACAGAACCAGCAGCTCCTCACCAATTTCAGACATGTCTTCATGGAGGTGAATGTTAAAAAGAACAATCATCATGGAAATGTAAGAAAAATGGACAAAAATCTAAGTTTATTACATTAAAACTCGAGAAAAAAAAAATAGTAAAAAGGATACGAGACACTAATGCCTCCACCAAATTGTAGTTGTCCATAGCAGTGCTTGGGATGATCTGGCAATAAAACGAACAACAAAATTATCTCTCTTAGCAGCTCAATGTACAGAGCAGTGATTGAAAAAAGCTTTTTAAATACAGAGAAGAAAATTTTCAAAGCCACGCAAAGGAATTTTAAGGATAATTAAGTCCTCAAAGAAAATTTATGAAGACAAATGTAAGTGCAACAGAATATAGAAGGAATGAGGAAGACAAATGTCCAACGGACTAGTTAGCAAAGAATAGCGACATTCTAAAAAACAATATTCTGGAAAAAGCATAACTCTCCTCAATTTAAACTGTTTGGAATCTAATAAAGTAAGCTCCAATCATATTTGAACCAACTTCCTCCATGTTAATCTTCTGACATTGCGAAACTAGCTACAGTGACTGCTAAACCAATAATGTAGTCAATAACTAAGGCCTACCATCTTTAGGGAGAATACCAAAATGCAAGTTATAGACTGGTACGTATAAACAAGAGTCAGTAACTAAGAAAGCTTGTTTTTCCCAAGTTTTGACCTGAATAAATAAAATATACTGTTCCTCTTAAAATATCAAATGCAAATAGGTTTTGCAAAATGGATCTTTCAGTATTTATTTACATTGACAATTCCCTCCCATTTCAAAATATTCCCTAAGTTTGTTAATTGACTGAGAATGATGAGATTCACATTGCTGTAACATTACTAAAATAAATGTTTGCACTGATTTTGTCGGTGTATTCATATAAGAAGAAAAGGAAGTAAATTTTATAATGTAAAAACCAGTTCTTACTAATGAGCATACATTACTCAAAGTTTAACTTCATTTATCTATACCTTCTCATTTTGCAACTTCCTTCGAAGATAAAGTTTCACCATCAGCCGTATGGATGGTGTCACAGATTTTCTCTTGTCCTTGTCTACCCTTGAGAGGGCGTCACATTCAAGACTATGCAACTTCCACTCTGACTTCTGAAAATGATCAAAAGAAATACAACAGCAGTTATACTCACAGACCTAACAAGGGGATTAACTATGACCATTAGCTATTTCTCACTGAACGCCATAACACTATTCAACTCTAAAAACTGAAGCTATCACTTAACAAAGATGCTGATATATATTACATTCTAAGAACTAACATTATATAAATTAATCTCCTCGAAAGGCAACAAAAGAGTTTCAGTGGTCATAAAGAGTTATACACCAAAAACATATGAGAGAAAAATGGAAGCAGTGATAAAGGGAACAACACCTGACATGGGGTTCCACAATACCATACAACTTGACAACGTGAGCACTTCCTAAGGTTAGATGTTGTGAAACATCCATCACACCTTTTCTGAGCTGAGGAATTATTTGGCACACAAACATAAGGCTCTTGACTTATAATCACCTCACCTGTGATACCAAAGGCAAAGCAACATTTAACATAAACTTGTGTATATCATTCTCCAAAGCTGGTGTTTCATTCAACTCACAATCAAATGAAGCAAGTAAAAGAAAACCACCAAGTACAAAACTAGTTAGAGAGAGAGAGAGAGAGAGACCTGGGTAGAAATCCCTCGTAGCAAAGAGAGAACGACCCTTTTGTGGGACGGTGGAAACTGTTAAATTACGATCCTCCAAGGCACTCTGCAAATCTTCCATTGCTATCTAGAATTTGTTCCTCCTTCACGCCACCACTCCCACTTTTACTAATGGGTTGGGTCCACCCATAAATCATTTTTTTTCATAATTAATAAAATAAAAGGTAATATTTCAACTTAACCTTAAAAAAAGTTAAAAAAAAAAAACATATAAATAAATAAAAGCTACATTGTTTTTTCCGACCTGGAAAAACGTTTCAAGGTTAAGGTTGATGCTGGTGCGGAACCCTGCGTTGACAGCGTCGTCGTTATTAGCCACCACAAGGAGGCTCTGCAACTATAACTACCATCTCTCTACATCTACACTCATGGCATCTTCAGGTTCGGTCACAACCTCTTTCTGTACTATCTATCTATCTAAGATATCATAAAATGTTAGCTGAACAACTTGCTAGTTTGTTAAAGTTTAAAGCTTTAATAATAGTTATTGAACAAGTTGGGTAAAGCTTGAATCTTGAAAATGAAATAGCTGTTCCTTCGTTTTTATCAGCTGTGGACTGCAATTCACCTTCCACGCTGGTTTTATGCGGAAAATCGCTGTCAGAGAATGAAACTGTTAAAGCTATTAAGGCCAATAACACCCTCAAACTCGCTGACAATGCGGGATTCTCATTTGTTTTGCATTCGGAATTGGATAGAAGTGTTAAACAAGAGTCTTTCCAAGTTGATTCCTTCATGAATTCTCTTTCCACCAATCAATTTGGCAAGCTTCTCATCTGGTCCCCGCGGTTAACTTCAACGCACGATGTCGTTTCACAGTATGTCTTGCACTTGTTGCCTTTTCTATGTTCTGTGTTTTAGACTATGCTTCCGCAGCTGAAAAATGATCATGTATACAAACTTTATTGTGTCTAACATGATGTGTTATCACTAAATAATAGTAGCTCAGTTGATGCATGAGAGCTGAACAGGTAAAGGGTGAGATATATGTTCGATTCTCCCCAATACCATCTTTTGATAAGGGTTTAAAACCTTAATTCTGAACTCACCTCAAACAGGATTGCCTCCCGTGAAGGATATATGTGATTTATCCAAAAAATAAAATAAAATGATGTGTTATCTACTTTTTTTCTCGTTTTCACTCCCAACATGTTTATGATCATATTGTTCAAAATTTCATATTAAATTTATGCAGGAACTTTTGTGAGCTTCCCATTGGTACAGTTTGTGTTGCTGATGTTCAGACCAAGGGACGAGGTTTGATATTATATTTAGTATTACTTGTGATTCTCTGTCTTTTTTAACATGTATTTTAGTTTATATGTCAAAGTTGCTCTGAGCACATAAATAAACTCTCAGGTCGGTCGAAGAATGTGTGGGAGTCTCCATTAGGTTGCCTCATGTTTTCTTTTACCCTGCAAATGGAGGATGGACGAGTGGTTCCCTTAGTTCAGTACGTGGTTTCACTCGCTATCACAGAAGCAATCAAGGATATCTGTAACAAAAATGTAAGCGCTTGGTTTTAAAGTACTGGCTTGATACCTAGCCTGCCAATGAATTTGATTAGGGAAAGTGTTAGTATTGAGGTTAACAAACATGGACAGGTTATTGACTAATTAAATTGAAATCTTTAATACTTTCGTGAAACTAACGGTGCTTTATGTGATTCTGTGAAAAACTATGAGGTTGTAGGCAGTAGTAAGAATTGTCACTCACTACTCACTAGGAAGAATTGCATTTTTGGTTTGTCAAATGGGAAACTTGGTTGGTCAGTCTTACTGCTAAAGATATTAAGAATGAGAGTAAAGGGCCGACCCAGTTCAATACCCACTGCGTGAGTGTCTGGGGAAAGGAAACTTGAGTCAAGCCTTACCCCTGCTTTGCAAGGAGGCCGAGTCGAACCCGCGACCTGGGACACCACGGCAAGCAAGCTTACCGTTGAGCCAAGCCGGCCCTTCATATTAAGAATGAGAGTACTAACCTATTACTCATGAAGGACATATGCAGCAAATTTTCTGAAAGGAAGAGGAACACAAGTTCCATCATCATAGAGTTACAAAAGCTGAATGCTTTTTTATTTTGTTGGTTAGTATTGTTAAAAAAAAATAAAAAAAAATGTTTGCTTTGTGTTTGGTCATTTTTACAAACCAGCATGCATGATTTGTTGCAGTATTAATTTGTTTTCTGATTGTTCGAGTTCTTAAATAGCTTATTCCAACACTTTACATTCCAGGGATTACCCTGCATTGATGTTAAAATCAAGTGGCCAAATGATCTTTACCTAAATGGCCTTAAAATTGGAGGCATTCTTTGCACCTCAACCTACAGATCAACGAAGTTCAATGTTAGTGCAGGTAATAAGATAGACCTGGTAGAAAATGCTATTCGATGGTGACTAATTGCACTTACATGTACAAAATTAGCTAAACTTGTATATTAAATCCCTGTTCGCTACAGAGTTTTTGATTTTCCTTGATGTCATTTTGGTAAGAGTAAAATGGTTTTAAAGTTTATGCTCACAATCAAGCTCTTAAAAATCCCATGCTTTCACAGGAATAGGCTTAAATGTCAATAATGAGAAGCCAACAACATCCTTAAATACAGTTCTAAGAGAATTGTATGTGGGAGCTTATCAATTTCAAAGAGAAGATGTCCTGGCAGCCTTTTTTAACAAATTTGAGAAACTTTATGGTCTATTTGTGAATCAAGGTACCGTGTTAATTACTACATTTGATTGTTGTTGCTAGTGGGTATCATCTCTGACATCATACCCCAATTCTGGTTATCATCTAGCACCTATGTTCATTCTTCTCTCTCTCTCTCTATATATATATATATATATATCTGAAAAACTGATGGATAGATAAAATCTTTTAATAATCTGGATCAACTTCTGGTATGTATGCTTCCCTCACCCTTGTGGATCAATCATATCGGAAGATTACAGTTGCCTTACTAAAAATTGTCTTGTTTTGGTATGGATAATACTTGTAAACTTATCCATTTTATAACTAAAATTGATCAAACTAGTTGTCCGACTTTTTCACCCTTTTGCCCCTTATTAATTAATTAATAACCATTTTGCCCCTGATTCGAAACTATTTATCAATCTGCTCCTCTTTAGTCGACTACCTTGCATTTTTAATCGACTAAATGGCCAAAACAGACAAAAAATGGCTGCTGGGAGATTTAGTCGACTAAATCTCCTTATTTAGTCGACTAAATCTTCATATTTGACAAAAAAAAAAATAAGTCAGTATGATTTTAATCGATTAAATAGGGATATTTAGTCGATTAAATCTCCCAACATCCGTTTAGTCGATTAAAAATGCAAGGTAGTCGATTAAAGAGGGGCAGATTGGTAGATAGTTTCGAATCAGGGGCAAAATGGTTATTAATTAATTAATAAGGGGCAAAAGGGTGAAAAAGCCCTAGTTGTCCTATATAAAGATGGAAATTTATATTTTGGGGATGAGAGAGAGAGACAGGGAAGGAGAGAGGGATATAACTATAGGGCATAGGATGCACCAGTGCAGTATATAATTGAAAATTGCTTGCTTGTTTATCCTTGCAGGTGCAGAGCTTCATTAGCCTCTATTTTCCCTGTCAGGGTGATTATTTTCGTTTTGTTAAAGATTTAAGTTGTAAATATGGAAGATATTTGTTATTATTGGTTTCCTTTATTAGTCAAATTATGTAATTATTAATTTCTTTTAGTACCCAAATTATATTTCCTTATTTTTTAGGATTTGGGTTTATTCTTCTAGGCCCATTAGTCTCTTTATATATATCGTATTCCTTTGTACATGTTTTCTGAGAATCAATAATATTTTTTTTCATTTCAAGTTGGTATCAAAGCTCTCAATTTGGGAGCTTTTTGCTTCCCCAGCCACCGCCTCTAGTGCGAATCCTTCTTTACGCAATTAGTGCGTCCAAGTCACCACTTTTAGCGCTTTAGTTTGTGGATTGTTTGGGGATCTCCGGTAACTCAAACAAGTTAGTGCTTTAGTTTGTGGATTGTTATGGATACTTTTAGTAAGACATCCTACTCTTGCTCTCGTGCTATGACTGGAAAGGACACATATATTCAATCTTTTTTGGCTTTTGGCACTGATTTTGAGAGGTTATAGATTGTTGACTCTGGTGCGACTAATCATATGACTTGTCAGCCTGATACCTTTCTCTCTTATCAAACCATCACTAGTATTCGTACTATCACTGTAGCTGATAGCTCCCATGTATCAGTTGCGGGTTCTTGTACCATTCGAGTTCAACCCTCCTTATTTATAAAAAATGTTCTCTTTACCAAAAAAAAAAAAAAAAAAAATGTTCTCCATATCCCCAAACTCTCTTATAATCTTCTCTCAATTCACAAACTTACCATTGATTTGAATTGTACCATAATAATCTTTCCTACTCATTGTGTCTTGCAGGATCTCACCACGAGGAGGATGATTAGAATTGTTAAGGAACAGGGTGGGTTGTACTATCTCTTTCAAGTTGTCAGTGGCTCATAACCAGTCCATTTCAGAGCATATTACTTGGCTTCATCATAAGCGTCTAGGGCATCCACTTTTCAGCCTTCTCAAAACTTTGTTTCCAACCCTATTCAAGCACGTGGCTGTTGAATCATTTCATTGTGATGTGTGTGAGTCTGCAAAACACCATCTTAGGTCCTTTCCTTCTAGCTCCACGAAAAGTATTGAATCATTTGATCTTATTCACTCTGATGGTTGGGGACCATCTAAAGTACATAATATCTTAGGTGCTAAGTAGTTTGTTACATTCATTGATGATTGTACACGGGAAACCTAGATTTTCCTAATGAAGGACAAGTTGGGCGTGCCACAGTTATTCATCCAATTCTATCACTTGGTCAAGACCCAGTTTGGAAAAAATTATTAAAAGACTATGGACCGATAATGGTACTGAATAATCAACCAGCGACTCACAATTTATTCAGGATAATGGCATGATTCATGAGCTCACATGTGTAGATAGCCCTTAACAGAATGAGATTTCTAAAAGGAATAACTATCACCTACTTGAAGTAGCTAGAGCATTATTTTTCCTGACATCTGTTCCCAGCTCTTACTGGGGAGAAGCTGTGCTGACTACAACATATTTGATCAACCAGTTACCCTCTCGAATTCTTGGAAATGTAAGCCCTATTCACCTCATGACCTCCCATTTTCTATCTATCCCTATTATGCAGAGCCTTCAATCTTGTGTCTTTGGGTGTGTTGTATTCGTCCATGTTCATAAACAACATCGCGCTAAATTGGATCCCCGAGCTCTTACATGTGTCTTCCTAGGATATCCCCCAACAAAAAAGGGTACAAATGCTATCATCCTCCGAGTCGCAAGTTTTTTGTCTCCATGGATGTCACCTTTAATGAATCTTAGTTATTGTTCACTCGTTCTTAGCTTCAGGGGACACAATTTCCGAAGCTTCATCCATTTTCTTCAAGACTGAGTCCCGCTTACCTTTGCCCAGACTTCCTGAGTCATACTATATTGAATCTGCCCCAATTACTACACATGATAATGAGCACGACGACTTAGTTGATGAAGCTAGTAGTTCATCTGATACTTCATCCGACATGCCTCCTCTTAACAACGTACAGAAGGCCGGGACACCCAAATTATTGTATTAAGAGGAAAAAACAACCCACACTGCTCCACCAGCAACTGTAAACGCCTGAACCACTAGTAAGTACTGAATGCACTACTATTTCTATTTTTGAGCTCGATATTATAAATCCTGATGACTTACCCATTGTCTCAAGGGAAGGAAAAGGTCCTGTATTCAGCACCCTATCTCTCATTTTGTCTCTTCTGAGAAACTTTCTATGCAACATAAAAGTTTTATTTCAGCACTTGATTCCATTTCAATCCCGATATTAGTGCACGAAGCATTAAAAAATGAGAATAGGGTTCAAGCCATGCATGACGAGATGAATGCCTTGGATAAAAATAGAACATGGAAAGTTGTTGACATGCCAAGCGGAAAGAAAAAGCAATGAAGTGCGGATGGGTTTATACTTTGAAATATAATATAGATGTTACTCTTTATAAGGCTCGGTTAGTAGCTAAGGGTTACACACAGGCGTATGACATTGATTACGAAGAAACATTTGCTCCGGCAGCCAAACTGAACACCGTGAGAGTCCTTTTGTCCTTGATTGCTCACTTTAATTGGGACTTGAATCAATTTGCTGTGAAGAATGTCTTTCTCAATGGCGAGTTAGAAGAGGAAGTTTACATGAAAATTCCATTAGGATTTAACTCCAAAAATGGAGATAATAAAGTGTATAAGTTAAAAAAGCTTTATATGGGTTAAAGCAATCCCCACGTGCTTAATTTAGAAAATTTACCAAGGTTATGTTATTATTGGGATATAAGCAAAGTCAAGGAGATCATACACTTTTCTTTAAACACTCCCACGAAGGTAAGCTCACTATTCTCCTAATTTATGTTGATGACATTATTATAACAGGGGATGATGCAGTTGAGAAACGTGCTTTTCAAGTTAAAGACCTTGAAAAATTGATATTTCCTTGAAATAGAGGTTGCTCATTTAAAGTAGGGAATCTTTATCTGTCAGATAAAGTATATTTTTGATCTCCTTAAAGAAGCAGAAAAGCTTGGGTGTAAACCTTCTAATACTCCAATTGAGCAGAATCATAAATTGGGAAACGAAGAGGAGAGCCCTCTAGTAGATAAAGAATATCAACGGCTAGTAGGAAAATTGATATATTCGGCTCAAACTGAACTTTATATAGCTTATGCAGTTAGTTTTGTTAGTCAATTCATGCACGAACCAAGGGTAAAACATCTGCATACAGTAGAGAGAATTCTCCAATATCTTAAGGCCGCACTAGGCAAAGGACTCTTATTCAAGAGAGGGGGAAAGTTATCCCTAGAAATTTATGCTGATGCTGATTATGTTGGATTTGTGCCTGATAGACGATCTACCTCGAGTTATTGTATGTTTTTTGGTGGAAACTTAGTAATATGGAGAAGAACAAAGCAAAATGTGATTGCTAGGTCAAGTGCAAAGGCAGAATTTCGAGCCATGGCCCAAGGTATTTGTGAACTGCTATGGCTGAAAATTATTCTAGATGATCTCATAATGAAATGTGAAGAACCTATGTAGTTACTCTATGATAATAAGTCAGCCTTCGGTATAGCACATAATCATGTCCAACATGAACGAACGAAACATATTGAGATCGACCGCCACTTCATCAAAGAGAAGCTAGATAATGGATTAATCATTACTTCATATATTCCTTCTGGTCGCCAACCAGCTGATGTTTTGACCAAGGGACTTTCCACTGACAGATTTCAAGAACTTACTAACAAGTTGAAAATAATAAATATACGTTCCTCAATTTGAGGTGGAGTGTTGTAAATATGGAAAATATATGTTATTATTTTTTTTCCTTTATTACTCAAATTATGTAATTGTTTATTTCTTTTAGTAGCCAGATTATGTTTCCTTATTTTTAGGATTTCGGTTTATTCTTCTAGGCCCATTAGTCTCTTTATATATATCATATTCCTTTGTACATGGTTTTTGAGAATCAATAATATTTTTTTAGTTTTTCTCCTTTCAAGTCTTTACTATTTCTTTTAAAGGCCTGTACTTTTGACTTGGAGAGTGAGGCTTGGGGGCAATGGTCAGATTGATCATGGGCATAGCC